GATAGAATCAAAGTGTGACTGACAGACAGACAGACAGACGGACGAACCCATTTTAATTGTCCCCTGCGTTTTTCGAAGGCGGGGGACATTTAAAAAGATGGAAGAAGTAATTTCTATAGCGTTTTTCGTAGAATTCTGTTTTTCCATGTTGATAAATTTCTGGCTAGTATTTCTGTATTTTCCCATGTTGTGGATTTTGGTAGATGTGTTCTGCTATTGCTCACTTGTTAAGTTCTTGTTTTATAACTGCCGTGTGATGCTCTTTTGTTCGCACTAAAATCCACGAGGTGTTTCGCCAATATACGCTTCATTACAACCTTGTATATTTTTATGGCCAGAAAACTTTAAAAGTAAATTTTATTTTTCATTTTAATGTTAATATAATTTTTGTTTATTCATCTCAATATTAATTATGTTCATGATTTTTTGATTAACCACAAAGAGTCATGTATAGAAGCTTATAGGGGTCAATAGCGCGATAGATACCGCGGTTGGTAATCTGTCAACATAATATTGTGATTGTTCTGATGATTTTATCTCTGAAAAGACAATTTTTGCATAGTTAATTAAGACAACACGCTATGTTATATGTCCCCATTTCGTTTTAAATGTGCAAGTTTGCGTTAAGATATTTCTATTCTGAAGCTTTGTCGACATATTTAATTTCGAAGCAGTATATTATGTCGACATGTTTGCATTTAAAACGAAATGACGACATACAGCATAGCGCGTTATACAATTAACTCGGCAAAAATTGTCTTTTTAGGGTTAAAATCATCAGAACAATCACAATATGTTGACATATAACCAATATTAATATTGCGGTATCTATCGCGCTATTGACCCCTATATGCTTCCATAGTCATGTGACTCCTATTTTTCCGCTAAGAGAAAACCGCACCATGCAATAGTAACTTTGGCAGTCATTTTGGTCTTATCGTTGTCAGTTTAATATTGTTGCCATTCAAGTACCAACCAGTATAGTCTTGTCATTATATTGTCATTGCCAGCCAATGTTAGAGAGTACAGAGGCATAAAACACGATATTTGTATCATTTGTATTATTTATTTGATATTGTATGTCATTTAGGTTTGTCAGTCGCATCTGTGTTGCATTTTTGTGATGGCATGGAAGCATGTTTTACATTGATCACTTATAGTCAGTTGTCTCCCTTTAATTACTTTGCGAACTATGCCAGCCTTGTTAGGAGTTGAATTCTTTATGTAATCGTATTGTTTGTATGCTATTTTTCCATTTATATTTTATTTACCTGGTGGTTTTATGTTAAGTAAAGCCTTTATAACAAACATTCCCATGTCCTTTGCACCCTGAACCTTTGGCTTGAACAGTTTATTACCTGCCAGTGTTAATTGTAAGAATATTTATCAGTGATAGTTTATTAGCTGAAATTTACTGTTATTTTGACAGAATAATTTATATTTGTATTTTTCACTTAATCGTTAGACAGTGTTATACAACCTTCATCAACAACTACATCATCATCATCATCATCATAATTTGTATTACCATCTGATTAAAGAAAACTTATATTCACATTTAGATGTTCATTTGTCTAATTGTCAACGCATTATGTGATGCAGTATCCCTAATGACAGTTTACTACCTACATATTTAACACACCTTGGATCTTCTCATGGTTGTTGTATCCTACCATCAGCTTTTAACATGGTTTTGAGTGTGGTTCCGCTACTAAACACTATCTCTGCGCCGGTTTGCTCTGTTAAAATTATTTTAATTTGGTGGCTAGCTTGTCCTATAAATGGGATGGTGATAAATACCGGGCGATTTCTTGTAATGGCATCGAATGGTTTGCATGTATGCGTCAGGGTTTTCTTCATGGTCGCTTTAACTGTGTTGGCATGGTAGTTGTTATATTCTGTAAGGACATGGTTGATGTGCTGTAATTCATCGTCCAGTAGATCATAATCACATACTAATTTTGCGCGTCTCGTTAAGATACATATGATTCCAGTTTTGGTTTGATGGTTTGAACGGTTATGTATGTATTGGTCTGTGTGGGTTAGCTTGCGGTTAACAGTGGTTTTTAGGTTAACTGCAGAAATTTATTTGTTATCGTTAACCAATTTATATATCATTATCAGTGCTGGCTATTTTAAGTCACCGGTGTACTTCTGGTGCTTCTGAGAACATGGATTACCAGAAGTGCTAAATTTACAAAAAGGTTTTTATTTAGTGTTATTTTCCTAAAATACAGGTCATGGGATGGGGAAAATTGCCATCAAGAGATTTTGTGCACGTGTTATGCCCCATCTTTTGCACTCACTAGGGGACATTTTATTTATGTTTAAAATGTATTGATTATATATGGAACCACTTTGATTTTATTATAAAAATATTTGATGCATGTTTAAATTGTTTTGATTATATATGGAACCATTTCGATTTTCATGATATATTTTATGTATCATAAAATAACCTGGCTGTATTCAATTCCTTGGACACGTACTACTTTTGCTCAGAATGACCTCGCTTTGAGAATTACGTTAAACTGTAATGGCGTCACCACTAGTCAACGATAATTTTTGTAAAAAAGAAAGAAAAAGAGGCGGAACCTATGATGAACTTTAACGTTATTGGTGATGATTTTCTTTTGATAATCTGAATAGTACAGTGTATTTTGAGGTTTGTATGTAGTTACAGAATAAAAACAGAACTCAATGTCCATTCAATACCGTTCGGGTTATTCAATGGTTCACTCGAGTTTTTCCCTGCCGGATTCCACTCGCTATCGCCCAGGGAATACTTGTATTGCGCAGGGATACACTCTCCTGAAGAATTGAATAATGGTCATTAAGTTCTGTATATTTATTTATTTATTGGTTTAATTTCTCATACCTGGGGTAACGCTCTAATGTTGCCGGTGGGAAAAATATCAATTGGAAGTTGGTTTCGCGGGGGGTGGGGGGAGGATTCAGAACTCACTAAATATATAAGCATGTGGGTTTGATCCAGTTGCTTACAGAGAAAGTTTCACGGTTGTTTTAGCTCCATTTTCCCTTGCCATTTCCCCTGCAGGACGGCCAGTGCCGAATTAGGCTCTGCTGGCCCAATCTGTTTCACAGAGAAAGACGAAAGTCTTCTAATACTCTGTAAAAGATGACTGCCTTCAACATGTGGCGTCACATCACGCGACGTCAATCATTGGGCCCTATAGCGTGCATTGTTCACGTAAGACGTTACTGATTCGGGCAGAACGCCGCCTTTTACTCATTTTAATACCCATTTACACTAAATAGGAAATAATTTTTACCTACAAATACTTCAAACGTCTTTATTTATTTTTCTAATACATAAAAAAAAATGTTTTAGAATTGTATTTGTCGGAGGAAAAAAAATAATATTGTGGACTCATTTAGTCGCATCGATGTCATCCTTATCAGTGATTGTACCGGCCTAGCGAATATTCACTGCTGCTGGCCCTAAGGTATATTTTGATAGGTGATCTGAAAATTCAGATAAAATTTATCAATAGAAAATTTATTACTCAACAATTCAGAATCTATTTTTTACAGAGTACTGTAATTACTTGAGATTACAGTAGCTAGATTACACCGTTTATTTTTACTTTATGTTTTTGTGACCTGCATTCTTGCCTTGCCAAATGGTTAATCCGGCACTGATCAGCAAAGAACAGCATCTAGACCTTCGTATGGGAAGACAAACCAAATTCCCATGGCGGCCTCAACAATATTACAGAAGCCGAAAAAAATTTTTTTTATAAAAGAGTTATACATTACTTTCTCCTTACAACCCATGCAATTCACAGCTGCTATATACGTACAGTAGTGTAAAAACGGATTGTGTGTTAAATAAAAAATACGGCCTGGGAACGAATTAAGAACCTCGGTGCTTTATTTTATCCGCCACATTATTCCCCCCCCCCACCCACCGAAACGATAAAGAACCCCGTAGGCCAAAAACCTATGCGCAAACCTATGTAGCCATACAGCTTAAACATACATTATGCAAGAGCTAAATCTTCCTATTGCAGGTCTTTCTTTTGGCCTGAAATGTTATCTAAATTATTAATTAGACATTAATTAACTTATCCAGGCCATAATCAACTCTCGATGGCATCGCTAGCCTGCGTTGTTTGTCGGATTAGGTCCCGATTTGCTGCTCGACTTCTATTCATGATTTAATCATGAAATGGATAATCGAGACTATGTTTTTATCGTACCTACTTTAGTAATGATGATCGAAGCTAGGCCGAAAATTCAATCGCTAAAATCTCGGTTCAGAGGGGATCAATTTGACTGAAATTTTCAGCAAATCCCCTTTACATTATCTAGTTTTTAACTGCCAGCTCTTTATCTAATCTCCCATAATGTATCTTTAACTTAAACATACACTATGCAAAAGCTACATCTGGCTATTGCAGGTCTTTCTTTAAAGGCCTGAAATGTTTTCTAGACTTAGACATTAATTAACTTATCCAGGCCATAATCAACTCTCGATGGCATACTCCCGATATTAAATAGATTAGAACGGTTCAGTCATATTTTGATTTAATCTAAAAATGGAGGAGCGTGACTTAGATTGGAACAACCAGTACGGTGGTTGAAATTATTGCACACGTCTTGTCAAACCTTCAAAGGCTAATATCTTCGCTCGCAATAGAGTAATTGAATGAAATTTTCAAATTATTAATTTTTCATTATCTGTTGTCGAACTATTATAGCAAGAATGGCTAGCTCTTTTTTTTTAAATCTTACATAATGTATCTTTAAGATTAGATAAAGAATACGCTCGGGGAACGAAAGAAGAACCCCGCTGCTTTATTCTACGCACACTTTCGGAGATACTTTGGATATCTAACCCCAACCACCATAAAAAGCCTACTACTTGATTGACCGCGTTCAATAGTCAACGTAAAGAAAACGAAATCTTTGTTCCTGTGAATGTTTAGATATGAATACTCGATATGCATTGACTAGTGTTTAAGAATAAATCATAGCATATCGTAGACAAGAAGTTGTCCTATTTAGAAGTAGGCAGACATTCGAATCGTTTTCACAGGATTTTAATAAAATGGGATACCTGAAGGTAGCAGTCAATACTTTTGTAACTTGTATCATTCTTGTCCAGGGTAAGCCCAATTATTTTAGTTCTAAAGTCTAATAAATTGAAGATATATGCAGTCAATCCAATACGTCTTTGTATGTCAGTAATTTATATATAGTATGGGAGCTAGCTGACCGTTGTTCTTAAACCTGCGGACAAAATTGGCAGGCACTATGCCTAACGGAGGCACCACGATGGCCGATGATCAGAATGGGTTTAGGGGCTGTACGCCCCCGTAATCGCGGAAAATGTCGATTTAATTCAGATTAATCTTCGCTACCATATATCCACGTTGCTAAGGCAAACTTTAAAAGTGCTTTTCAGAACAAAACTCCCTTTCAGCTGAGAAAGGAATCAAAGTTGTCCGTCATATTTTAAATAAATCTACGTACTCGGGTCACTAGGGGGTGTTCTGAAGCCAGGAGCCATGTGATTTTTTGTTCTGAAGGTCACTTTTAAAGTTTGCCTTGGCAACTGGAACATATGTAGCGAAGATTAACTTTGTCCACAAAAATTTGAAGTAAATTGACCTTTTCCGCGATTTCGGAGGCGTACAGCCCCTAAACCTAAAAGATGTGCAACTTATGAATTCCCTTTCTGATCATCGGTCATGATGGTGCCTCCGTTAGGCATAGTGTCAGTTTTGTCCGCGTGATTAGGAACAACGGTCAGCAAGCTCCCCTACTAATATTACAGTGTCATTTATTGGAAATCGAATGAGTGTTTTCATTGTCATCTAACAAATTGAGAGATTACATACCGATATGGTGTTATCTCATGCAAGTTTAAATTACAAGTATAAAGTAAATCCGCTAAATTACGTATGTCATGGGCTATATCTAAACGAATATGATCTGCAATGCAAGTCGTTCATTTGAAAATGTCTATAATGTCAATTTACCTGACTGGGTTATGGAATATTTATAGGAATGGCTGATCAGTGTACCACAGGTCCAAATATTGGTAAGTTTATATTATACATTTAGTATATGTTACTATACTTCTCTACAGTCTAAAATATTTATCCCATGGCTTAAAATAAAAAAAAACGTTAAAATTTTCTCGCATTGTTAAGAAAAATATTCTGTTAAAACATTTATCCAACTGCTTTTAAACAGAGTTATTTTCTGCTAAAATGTATATTAATGAATATTACATGAATTGTGTGCTATCAAAGTTTAGACAGGTATTTAGATAGAGACTCTAGGGCATTTAATTCAAGATTAGCAAATCAAAATTATTCTTTGTTTTTACAGTATTGCCATGCAGTGATATGACGACACCAACCAGTCATATGTTTATACCTGTTAATGGTAGTATACTTACAGATGGAGACAAGGGTTGTATATGTGACGTCACCATAGTAGAAGTGCCAGTCAACAGTATCACGACTGAAGTCAGTGTTAGGATTATAGACAACAATATAAGGTGTGGATTTCAAGTTACAGCTGGACGTCGTATTATCGAATGCCAAAACCGGTCGTCTTCCTCTAATAACATCAAGTTATACGAGTCTTTTAGTTTAACGTTCACCAGAGATAACACACCTAATCCATCATCTACAGCAGGTTTCTGTTTACAAGTTATAACCCTAAACGTCAGTAAGTATTTTAGTCATATGTGAAATTTATTTTAAAAAATACTGTTAATTATAATAGGGCGTGTATCCCCGTGCTGTCATGTTAGCTTATAACCTCGTTTGTATGGCTAAGTTTAAATGACATGTTTTGCTTCTCTCCACGTATTTTGTGTTTTTCCGTCCGTCGGATTGTCAAATTCGTAGAGAAAAATTCGCTGGGTCATGAAGGGGATGAAATGCAGAATATGTCGACTGCCAACCGTTGAATTATAGCCTGTTTACGTGTCATCGAAATGCTTTATTCTTTAAGACTTGAAGGAACTTCAGTGTATACGGGTTGGAATTTAGTAACATATTCTTGTTAACTGATTTTAGAGTCAGCAGTGACGTATTTGCTATCTGTGTAACAACTCAACGTCTATGTTTTAAATAAATATAACTTGAGATCAATATTAATATAATAAGATATCATTTTCGTTTCGTTCTCTTTCTGAATTTGAAATTGCATGTTCTGTTCAGTGATTACTGCCTTGGCAATATCAAGATTTAAAACGAAAGTTCTGAATACAACACCGTTGCAGCATACCATGACGACAGGTGCGTCTTCCTCAGAGGCAACAAAATCAGTGTCGGATAGTTTGATGACAAATCCGTCTAACACAGAAACACCACAATCAAGGACATTCAAAGTTAAAGCCATGTCAATAACAACTGGTAATACCTCAACGGCATCGACAGCATATGTCAAGAATCGGGCAACAGTTGACCAGTTACCAGGTAATATACGACCTAATATTGTGAACTGCCAAAGCTTACCAAATTATAATGAAATGTATAGTATTATCAATATTACAAAATATAGCAGCCATGATGTGTGACGTACATCAGTCATAGATAATATCTTAACAGCACGTGAGCGGTGAAAAGTATGAGAATGCCGTTCAATGTAGTGTACAATTTGACAACGACTTGATATTAAAACCAATGTGCATGATAATTTAGGAACTAACTTTGACATCACGTTGTGGGATCAATTAACACCGGAATACTCTGTCTTGTTGTAACTTAAGTTTATATATCAAATATGACAAACTATAAAGGTTAAATACATGAAACTACAACATCTAGGATAGTACACTAGGAGTTACAATATCTACGGTTTGAGTATAATATCCTTAATAACAGCTGAAACGTGGCAAGAGCCAAACGCTTGGTGATAGTTCTACATGTGATGTTCTCGCCTGTGGTTTAATTTTATTTCAATAGTTCGCTTGCGCGTAAGTGCTTTTAGCAATGGGAGGAAACCGGAGGGCCCGGAGAAAAAACACGAGATTTGACAGGCGACCCTACTCCTTGTCACGTACAAGCGGGGAATCGAAGCCAAGGGCCTGTTTCACGAAATTTTAACTAAAGTTAAAATCTAAATTTTAGAAGATACTTCAATTTTGATTGGCTAAGCACTAAAATCAATCTAATATTATCCAATCAAATTACTAAAATTTGGATTTTATCTTAGTTAAAATTTCGTGAAACAAGCCACTGGCCATTTTACTCAATGAGAGACCTAAGGATGTAACGCGCACGTGTTAACCATTTGGCCACTCAACACCCATCTCCCATTTTAAATCAGTAAATCCCCCTAAAACATTTTCTGTTGTATTCATATGACCTTTGACCCAGTGATAAATTTCACAATTTATTACGGCAGCATTATGATATACTGCTATATACACACAATCACTGTAGTCTAGTATTGTTGACAGTAACTCTATTTAATGGTTAATGGTTAGTCGTTCGGATGGGACGAAAGACCGCAGCCACGTGTACACTATGGCGTACACGTAAATAAAATGAAATAGGGTTTAAAGTCCTATGTTCTGCTCCGGATGGGCTAGTAAAGACAGGCATACGCCATACAGTGTGCTATGAGGGAAATTTTGCCCGGACGGCTTAGCTGCGGCCTTCCCTTATATCGAATTCCAACTGCCAAGGGATCTTTTACGATCTTTTACATGCTGTTTTCTTAATATTCACATTGCATATACTATCAATCAACTAAAACGATTTGCGTCAGCATACTGTAATATTATTCATATCTAATATTCTATGAAAGAGTATATTCACATTTCAACACTGCATTGTGTAATAATACACGATAACAATACCATAAAATAAACTCTAGTATTTGTAAGCCTCTAACACATAATGGATATATACTGTCCCTGATAAAGGGGTTGGTGTGTCATGCATGTTGCGTTGTATTGTTATGTAGACTGTTATTTAAGGAGGGCAGACTAGACCCACCCCTTCCCCTCCCCCGACATCGATCCGCCACTATATATAGATCCAGACAAGGACGGACATTACTAGTAACAATACTTGGGCGATTAAAGAGAGAAATATATCGCAAAATGGGGGATGGGGGTATGATAAACTCTGACCCTTTGATCAATTTGTTAGCAAACCAAAAATGCTGCTTTCATATATCACGATATAATAGTATATATTTTGGATCTTTCGGTGCCGAATATTATAAAGTGTTCTTAACTAACTGAACTCGATCGAAATATCTATCAAAATAACTAATTTTAATCCAAACACCAGATATATTGTCTAAAATTCCAGTTCGCAAACGTGGTGTTTCTACGAAATTAGTTCCCGTGGCGTTATCATCAGTAACAGTTAGCTTTAAAACTAAAGCTAAAAGAATTAAGGCGGACATTAGGGTTGAAAATCACTGATTTGATCTGCGATATATTTATATTCATCACGATGAAACCCCAAAATGTCTTTCACAACACAAGTCGTAGTACATACAAATAACGCGCTGTGATAGAATACATAACTCTTATTTATTAAAAAGATATTTTAATACTGGATAACATATTTACATGTACAACGTCATTGTGGTTAGATCTCGAGACATCTATGTAGCCTGTTCCCTCAGGTCTGCCAAGACCCCCTTCTCCCGGGGTCCAAGGGCAGACCGCCTTGCCCCAGGTCCGAGCCGAGTTCTCTCTAGGTCTCTCTCTGCGCCTCTTCTGTACTTCCCCCTGCCTGCTTGTTTGTTGTTGTTGTTAGTTAGTTGTATTTTACGTCTGCTTCCACCGAGGTGATATCTAAACTAGGCTTTTTTATATCGGCTAGGGCACGCAATAGTTAATACCATTAGTAATCAGAACAATGAAAAGTAATTATTAAGATTCCCACATCTTAGCTCAAGACAAAATGTGTCAATACGTGTTAAGCCTAAATCTTATATCATATAGACACTCCGAGTACACACGTTTGTACAATCCATTAAATCTTACATAATACTATGTCAACTCCCCACACCTGATATAGATTAAAACTTACAATTAATCTGTCACTTAATATATGTCCAAAATGAGTTACAAATAAAATATGAATTCAGAATACTATATTGAAATTTAGATCCCAAATGATATTGTATTACAGCGCACCATCAACGCACTTTTATATCACTATGGACTAAAGTCACATCGCAAAATGTCCAATCCACGACCAGTTCAGCACAACAATCACAGATTAAACTCGCAAATATCCGCTTAATTAAAGTTCACTTCGCGTTATCGCGTAATCCTTTCTCTTCTAACTGTTCTATGGACTGTGGATAAGATTCGTCTACCAGCCAATACAAAGATTGTAGCGTTGTCCTGAACACTGTTAATTTACGATTCCCATCAAAGTCTTGCCCTCATCTGGGTATGAGACGGTAAAGGCGTTCACTTCCACTAGCCTCTTATGTTCTGTGTATGGACTCTTTTTATCACAAAGGGGTCATAAGGGTGGGGGTGATACACCAATAGCTCTAGGCCTTGCATTAGAATTCAAGGTGGAGCATTCGTTCCGGGACTCACCATCAACAAACGCACCACTCGCTTCCATCAAAAGAATTGTCAATCTCACAAACAGTGATGGTATTAACTGTGACTGCTTTGGACAACAATTTATCTGGTAATCGTGCGTACAGATATGCAAATTAATTTGTTTAATTACCAGAAAAATCAATTCCCAGGATACAAAAACATTTTAGGGGAGTTTTCTAATTTTCCAGAAACGAATCCCGGATGCGACATACCTATTCTTAAAAATGCTGAGGTACAATAATTTGTTAGTTAACTCATCAAACGAGAAGGGATATTGCAGGTTCCAAGAGACTGCTAGACAGAAAGGCAGATTTTCAATTTTTTTCTAGTTTGGACAATTATATGATTTCTTAAACAAATTCAATACATTAAAGGACACGCACCTTTTCCCGATAATTTTTATTTCTAGTTACAGGGTTAGCAGTTGGAGTAACGATTGGTTTTCTTTTGTTGATCGTGGTTATAATAATACTGATATGGTACGTATATGATATTCAAAATATAACGATATTATGGCAAGATATTGTGAGAGATAGCAAACGCTGTACAGATTTCCTGGATTCTGAAAATATTATTTTCGTTAAAAGCGATATGTCAGCGAACTGAATCCAAACATGTCTGGTTTGTATTGTTAGGTGGGTTGTTATAAGAAACTATTTATTGCATTCTTATAATTTTGTCCAAAAATGCCAACCCCAATCTCACTACAATACATATATGCATTTCGTTTCGATTGTTAATATGTTGTTGTTTTTTTTAAATTGTTTGATGGGTTGTTATAACAAACTATTTATTCCATATTTGTGTCAAAAAAGGCAACAACCTCAATCTGATTAAAATACTATACCCTGTTTCATCAATGGTATAATCAAATTATCTGCCCTTGATCGTAGTTTGAATCTACAAACCAATAACAAAAAATAGATTACAAACCAGTCTTAGTGTCATTGCTTACGTTCGAATCCCCGGTTGTGCGTGACAAGGAGTAGGGTCGCCTGTCTAACCTCGTGGGTTTTCTCACGAATAATTTGTAACAAGGGTCTTCGAAGGAATTATTAGTGAGCAGAAATTCGCCCATGTACCTGTTATCACCCGTCACTTCAGCCAGTTTTATAGAGGGATAACTCGTGTTTTCCTTTTGCGTTCGTCACTTCCTATTGTTGAAACATTGATTACTCATCTATCGTAGCAATGATCTCTGTGAAAAAATAATATTTGGAACGTGTTTACCAGTTCTATCACATATATGATAATGACTGGCACCAATATTGCCCTTTAAACATAGATAACGTAAATAGAATATGCTGAAAATTTCAGTCAAATTGATCCACTCTGAACCGAGATATTGGCTTTTGAATTTTAGGCAAGCCTCGATCATCATTACTAAAGTCGGCACGATGGTAAATTATGGATAATCGAGACTTTGTTTATTATCGTAACTCGATAAGGGTGATAACTTAACTCAACTCAGAGTGGAGTAATTTGACTAAAATTCGCAACATATTCCCATCTCATTTAAGCACCAGAAATTTAATCATTAGTTACATGAGAGATAACATATTTTAATGGTTTAAAATTCTCATTCCGACAGTAACGTTCCAACTTAGACGACGGTGAAAATAGCACTTGACTGTTGATTGGTGGAGCTAACTAAACATGAGGTTGTGGATTTGATCCAGGTTTTTGTCGAGAACGATCTGCGATGTGGAAATGAAATGAAATGAAACGGGGTTTAACGCCCTACTGTTCTACTCCTACCGGGCTAATGAAGACGGGTATAAACCATACAATGTACTATGAGGTTCTCCGGTTTCCTCCCACTGTTAAAGACCCCTACGCGCAAGCGAATTATTAAAATATAATTGAACCACATGTTAGTCCCGAAATGACCTAGTTTTGTCGAGTGGACGTTAAACCCATCTCTCTCTCTCTCTCTCTCTCTCTCTCTCTGAGATGATTAGAGTTACTTTCCTTCTCCAATTTCCTTTGTATTTAACGATTTTTTTGATTGGTCGATAAAGGACGGATAATTTGAATACGTGTCTCCCCCATAGATGAAAGCTGGGATTAGTGGAGTGGAACGGAATGAGACCACTGGTGATACCGAGGATGTAGCAGTGAATAAAAAAACATTTTATTCTTTTCATGACGAAACGCAATAATTGTTTTTCAGTATAATACGGAGCATCAAAAAGAAACTCGCAGATCACGTATCTAGATGTACATGTCACAGATCTGACGTCAATCAACCTAGGAATATCATGTATTATGATATCATGACAACAAGAGAAGATAACCACCGGTATGAACTGTCACCCTTTAGGGATTCGAATTCTAATCACGTGACTGTAACGGCCGATGGAACCCAATCTACATATGATACCATGGAAAACAGATCTCCTGAGAACAGTTATCAAACATTAGCACCATCTGTCAACAATGGTGTTTACGTAAATCAACAAGTTTTATAGCATTTTAATATTCTTTGCATAAACATAATATGACACAGTAAATGATAGTTTGTATTAATATAATAATGTGCAGTAAGTAACCGAGAAAGTAATGGCTAGTTATCTCAAGACAATTTTGTAAAATATAATATTCGTAAATGAAGTGTGTATTGGCTCAACGTTTTAAAGTGGTATGCCCACAATTAATGCATGAGAACCAAACAAGATATATCAAAGATAAGATAAGACAAATTCAAGACATACTTGATTATACGGATAATTATAAAGCAGAGGGAAATGTAATTTGTATTGATTTCTTGAACGCATGATCATTTGTGCGGGCGTCACACCGTCCCGAAATGGCATTTTGAACTTCTCGCGAGGATGGCCCCGAACTTGTCAACAGCCAATTAACAGCCGAAGCTTATACGATGTCCGCACATGGTCACGCGATAACACCCAAACCACATACGAAGCCAAAACGAAGTAGCCTATACCCGTAGGACACATGAAAGCGACACGACGTCCTATTGAGAGTATACGATGCGTTCGAACTAGGCCACGAAGGCGTCACGTGACGTATGGTTTATTTCATTGCGACGTTTGTCAAATATAACACCGTAATTAATTTAGCAACATAGTAACTGCTGTAATGAATTCTATATATAGTGTTGTATCTGTGCACTTTCAGTATGTATTCCCACTGAACTTTATTGTACAAATGGTTATTATTAATAAAGATTTCTAAAAAAAATAAGAAGACATTTTCTTCTTTCAATATGTCCACTTCTATAAGCCTACTGCATTCTGATTGGTCGATCTCCATAGAGCTCCATAATAAGTCTCTAGTCTTTATAAAAAGTTATTATTCACTGTAATATATCCTTCCTGCAAAAAAACAATTCACATATAAAATAATTTAAGAATGGAAAGGAAGCCCATACGATCCAACAAGAATTTATTTTACTTGGATTGTATAATATATTGAGAAAGAAACAATTTGAATGTGTTCAACATGACCATTATATCCATGGAAAATATCTAACATCTCCCACCAACACCCTATCCTGTATTAAGTACCAACGAGAGAGGTTTAATCTGTCACAGTCAATATCTATGTCTAATTCAGAGGAGCACCTTTTTTGAACCCAGATAACTTGAAGAACGTAGCTAGACTGCCTAGACATATTCCACAAGTCATGTCAAACGGTGAAGCCATTTTCTTATCTGTAGAGCATGCGCAATAAATACTATCGGTGTAGACTGGAATAACCAGACGTTAGAGGTTGCCATTCGATTGAGACTTCTGACGTATTTCGCCGAACATAACTATTTAGAAATTACTTTACAGTACAAACTGAAACCATTGATGTAAATCAGTTTATATACATTCATATTACATTATTATATGCGTTGCAACCCATTTGTGTCAATTTCTAGGTTCCAAATATTAGCGATTTCGCTCCTTTAAGTAAACATTTTTAAGAAGTAATGAATGTAACTGTTTATGATAAAACATAAATAAAGTAGACATATCTTTAAACTGATTAAACCTATCCATATATGTAGGATTTAAACTACAGTTCTAGTGTGGATAGACTTAAACTGTGTTGATATAAATTTATACTAGGTTTATTATATATAAAAATCTCACAAACACGGAGTATTGGGATTACATTAAACATAGATAACGTAAATAGAATATGCTGAAAATTTCAGTCAAATTGTTCCACTACGAACCGAGATATTGGCTTTTGAATTTTAGGCAAGCCTCCATCATCATTACTGAAGTCGGCACGATGATAAATTATAGATAATCGAGACTTTGTTTATTATCGTAACTCGATAAGGTCGATAACTTGACTCAACTCAGAGTGAAGTAATTTGACTGGAATTTGCAACATATTCCCATCACATTAACAATTATAGCGATAACTATCAGCCCTTTATCTTACATAATGCCCTTTGAAATATATGTTCAGTCGAACATAATTATGTCAGCGTTTAAGCACCAGGAATTTAATTATTAGTTACACGAGAGATATATAAAGATAAAGAACCCCGTACGCCTAAGGCCTCGGGACAATTTACCCCAACGACCACAAACACATTGTACATTGGTTAACAGTCATACACGTACATGTATTATATGTGGAAATGAAATGAAATGAAACGGGGGTTTAACGTCCTACTGCTCTACTCCTACCGGGCTAATGAAGACGGTTATACCACCCGATTAAATTTTATTACATACTTCGAGAGGGTATTTGTTGAGTAATAAAACCCTCTAGTAGTTTATCGAGGGCTGGCCGTCCTTACCGTACGGTACAAATAAAACCTTCTAGTATTTTATCGAGGTTCGGGTGCTTCCGGAGTCCAAAATGGCCGCTTTATATAAATGGGAATTTTGGGGATAACTAACCCTAACCCTAACCCTTTTTAAAAGACTGAACTTGGGTCTAATTTAGTTTTTACTTCTCTTAAAAGGGTTAGGGTTCGGGTTAGTATTCCCCTAAATACTCATTTGTATAAAGCGGCCATTTTGGTATGAGTTCTGGCTTGTTCTGGAATTTGTTGCTTCTAGTGGTGATAATATTTGTACCGTGCGGTAAGGACGGCCAGCCCTCGATAAACTACTACTGTCTGATTCATCGTAAATTTTAAACGGATTTCTTCGATTATGAACAAACTACTTAACGTTGGTTATTATAAACTTACCTGTGTGTTTGTAATGAACTCCCGTTCGATAAAATCCATTGCACAACTAATTATCACAACGATGAAAACAAGTTCTCTCTTGAAAAATTGAAATATCACAAACTTTTCCCAGAGAAAAATACCAATATGGAAGATGGTTACGTCACTCTGCGGAAGATATCATTTCGTATTAGGGGTGACAGCATAGGAAATTCAAGTACAATTACGACAAGAATCCATGACCACTCGGACCAAAGACCACTCGGTTCAAGACCAGTCGGACCAACTGATAGACCACTCAGCCCAAACAAATAGACTACTCGGACCATACAAAAAGACTATTCGGACCCAACAGAAAGACGACTCGGACCAATAATAAAATGTTGTTTTAATAAATTGATAATTGCGTTTGTTTTAATATAATTACTCGAACCAATAATAAAGTGTTATTTTAATAAATTGATAATTGTGTTTATTTTAATATGACTACTCGAACCAATAATAAAGTGTTATTTAAATAAATTGATAATTGTGTGTGTTTTAATATGACTACTCGAACTAATAATAACGTGTTGTTTGAATAAATTGATAATTGTATTCCAAATCGCAAAATATCGAGAACCACACTTGTAGTCACGTTTAAAAAGGGGCATATAAACGTCCGGTCTTCGTATTATTATGTGCTGTTTATATTAACGCATCAAGGGCGGATAACTTGAAAACATGTCTCCCCCCCCCCCCATAAATAGTAACCCAGGGGTTAGTGGGGTAGAACGGAATGAAACCACTAGGGATACCGCGAATGTGGAAAAAGTAAAATTATTCTATCAGACAAGAACAGTATACCCGTATATGTAGAAACTGTCAAAAGTCTGGACATACCGAGTCTCATTGCAAGAGTAAAGAAAAATTAGACTGATATTTTTTTTTGGCACCATTATTAATTAATTTTAAAACTAATCGTTGATTTATTTTCCGTACACAAAATTGAACTAAACAACTCTAAATATAAGAATTCCGTATAAGAATTATTTGCTTCTTTGTATTGTGATTTAATAATAAATAAATAGCATATTGTCTAGCCTTATAATATAATTTAATTGGTCCGACTGGTCTTGTTTTGGTCCGACTGGTCTTATTCCGAGTAGTCTTTGGTCCGAGTGGTCTGGATACCTACGACAATTGGCATTGAGTTTGAGCGTTCGCACACATAACTACCCGCATTCCTGTATTTAGTTACCGTCTTTTACATTCTAGTAAAATCTCTGCAAATTTTATAGCTTTACTTTTTGAAATATTTTGTTCTAATTATTTGATTAGCGACTCGGATGGGATTATTTACTTTTGAACACGCATGCCGCACAAACACAACTATACATTCGTTTTACTGGCTTTATCACACTTCGGTCAAAACTGTCGAATCGAGAATTAATGTTCCGCTTCTTACGGGGTCATACGGGCTTAGTAGCATTATATACCCACCCGGGCACCCAATACGGCAATAGACACGCTGAGGGCTGCCGCAACACGCTTAAAGATGTTACTGAAGCGGTTATTATTCGATCGAAAGAATGCGTATAAAATTAAAAATACACTCAGAGAATTCGGAGGTAAGCTTCGTGATCCTTGTTAAATTATTTATAACATAAAGAAGATAGGATATTTATAGTTTATTCATGACTTTATTTTTACGAGTATCCGTGCAATCAGTGATATTTTAATTGTGAAGAAAATTTGATAGACTGGCGATCAATGGTTTCCATATAAATCTCCTATGTAATTGCCTTCAATTGATATTTTTCGTCGCCCAAACCCATATACGATCAAAATGATCGCGCTGTCAAACTATCTTTCAATGTTAACCAACCCCCGCAACAGGTATATTGGATTCGACCATTACGTCACGAAGACATTGTTGACATCGACTCTGTCGAAATTACAAGTAAATTTTCAAATTTTTCAAGAGAGAACTTGTTTTCATCGTTGTGATAATTAGTTGTGCAATGGATTTTATCGAACGGGAGTTCATTACAAACACACAGGTAAGTTTATAATAACCAAAGTTAAGTAGTTTGTTCATAATCGAAGAAATCCGTTTAAAATTTACGATGAATCAGACAGTAGAAGGTTTTATTACTCAACAAATACCTTCTCGAAGTATGTAATAAAATCTAATCGGGTGGGTATACACCATACAATGTGCTATATGGAAATTTTTGCCCGGACAGCGGCACTACGGCCTACTCTTATATTATTGAATTCCAACTGCCAAGGGACCTTTTACGTGCACGCCAATGTATACACGAGACCTCGGTTTTTCGTCCCATTCGAATGACTAGACAGCTGTCCTTGTCAGGCCCCCTGCCTGCACCAATGACAAAGGGAAACCACGTCGGAATATAAGTATAAGTTATATATAAAACAACCACACAGCTTAAAATAGATTCACGGGCTAACACTTTCTTGACAGCGTTTTTTAGTCAACGTAAAGAAAGTGAAATCTTTGTTCGAGTGAATGTTTTGACATGAATACTCGATATGCATTGAATATTATTTAAGAATAGATCATATCATATCGTAGGTAAGAAGTAGTACTATTTAGGAGTAGACAGACATTCAAATTGTTTTCACAAGATTTTAATAAAATGGGATACCCGAAGGCAGGCGTCAATATTTTCATAACTTGTATTGTTCTGGTCGAGGGTGAGTATAAATACTTCATTTCTAAAACCTAATTAAATGAAGACATATGCAGCAAATCGAAAAGGTATTCGTATATCGCTGTCATCTTGAGTGACCAAATAGCAATATGGTGTTATATCACGCACAAGTTATCTTATTATTACAAGTATGAAGATTTATATGAATAAATAAGTAAATGAACGGTTGTGTACCTCAGTCCCTTAAATTACGTATTTTATATCTAAACGAGTATGATCTATATTCTAATTGAATAGTGTACAGTCGTTCATTTGACAATGTCTATACAATTCAATTTATATGAGTGTGTTATGGAATATTTATAGGAATGGCTGATAAGTGTACCACAGGTCCAAATATTGGTAAGTTTATATTATACATTTAGTATATCGATATGTTACTATTTTACAATATAAAATTTTTATCCCATGGTTTAACGTTAAAATGTATGACTATTCCATGAATAGTGTGGTCTTATAGTTTTGATAATGAGTTCCAGTAAAGGGTCTCCATTTAACAGTTATTTTCAAGATCATGTGCTGGTTAATGGCAATTGGTGTAGTGTCAAAGTTTAGACAGGTAGTTCTAATAAACGGTCTAGAGAGAGACGGGGCATTTATTTCAACATTAACAACTCAAAAATATTCTCTGTTTTTACAGTACTGCCATGTAGTAATATGACGACACCAACCAATCAGATGTTTATACCTGTTAATGGTAGTATACATACAGATGAAGACAATGGTTGTATATGTAACATCACCGTAGTAGAGCTGCCAGACAACATTATCACCACTGAAGTCAGTGTTAGGATTATAGACAACAATATTAGCTGTGGATATCAAGTTAAAGCTGGACGTCGTATTATCGAATGTCAAAATAGGTCGTCTTCCTCTAATAACATCAAGTTAAACGAGTCTTTTAGTTTATTGTTCACCAGAGATAATACACCTAGTCCACCGTCTACAGCAGGTTTCTGCTTACAAGTTATAACCCCAAACGTCAGTAAGTGTTTAGTCATATGTGAAATTTATTTACAAATACTGTTAATTATGATAGGGCGTGTATCCCCATGCTGTCATGTTAGCTTACCTCGTTTGTATGGCTAAGTTTAAATGACATGTTTTGCTTCTCTCCACGTAGGGAAAGTTGCAGAATATGTCGAATTATAGCCTGTTTACGTGTCATCGAAATGCTTTATTCTTTAAGACTTAAAGGAATTTCAGTATATACGGGTTGGAATTTAGTAGCATATTCAATTGTTAACTGATTTTTGAGTCAGCAGGAACGTCTTTGTTATCTGTGTAACACGTCAACGCCTATGTTTTAAATAAATATTTCTTGAGATCAATATTAATATAATAAGATAATATTTTCGTTTCGTTGCCTTGAAACTGCACGTTCTTCTGAACACATATACATATTTGTTCAGTGATTACTGCCTTAGCAATTCAAGACAAAATAAAAGAATACAAACGGATAAACGCGGAGCAGTGAGTATAATGAATTGGATATATCAAGATTTAAAATGAAAGTTCTGAAAATATATTTGTAGACGTCAAAGTGACAAAGGTCTGCAGGGAAATTGTTGTAAGGGTCCCAAGCCCTCTGGCCACTAAACCTGCCAGTACTGCAAAACCAATGGCAACAACAAGACAAACGATGGCCGAAATATCAAATACAACACCGTTGCAGCATACCATGACGACGGGTGCGTCTTCCTCAGGGGCACCAAAAGCAACAATATCAATGCCGGATACTGTGATGGCAAGTCTATTCACCACAGAGGCCCCAAATACAACAAAACCAGTGTCGGATAGCTTGATGACAATTCCGTCTACCACAGAAACACCACAATCAAGGACATTCACAGTTAAAGCCATGTCAATAACAACTGGTAATGGCTCAACGGCATCGGCAGCAGGTGTCAAGAATCTGGCAACAGTTGACCAGTTACCAGGTAATATACGACCTTATATAATGAGATGCATCGAATCAGATATTTAATTAAATCCATACCAATTTCAAGAACGTCTCGATGCAGCCTTTAATAGATTATCATAATGAAAACTGAGTATATTGCAAATTGCATTCAAATTATTTTATTCTGAGTGAAGTTATGGGTGTTGGAAAATTTAGCTTAGATTGTTTATTATCGTATAGGAACGGTACTGGACAAACGACATTTAGTCTCGAATATCGATTATATGGTGTGCCCTAATCCATTTAAATCTTCGCCATCCGATAGCTTAGGGAGTTGATGATAGGTTCTCCATGTGAATAAATGTCTAATTGATGATTTAAATAATCTTTAATATCAGGATAAAACTATTACATTTAAATCACAACAATAATGTGGATAATGACAGATTAAATGGAAACTTTATTTATATCAGATTTGTGTTCGTTCAATTAACTGTAGTACGGGATAGCATTGTAAATAAAACTGCTTCGGTTAAATAGAAGTACGGGGGGGGGGGGACCGAATGGTTAGCACATGCGCGCTGTATAATGAGGTCTGTCATTGAGTCAACTATCGTGGTTTCGATTCCCCGGTTGTACGTGACAAGGAGTAGGGTCGCCTGTTCAACCTAGTGGGTTGAACCATGTGTTAGATAGTTTGTGTCAAGTGGACGTTAAAACCCATCTCTCTCTCTCTCTCTCTCTCTCTCTCTCTCTCTCTCAGTTAAATAGAATAGATATATACTTGCTATTTTCGGGGCATTTCCTCAACGATAACGAGTTGGCAGTTCTCACTATAATAGTTAAAAACTAGATAATGTAAAGGCAATTTGCTGAAAAATTCCGTCAAATTGATCCACTATGAACATGAACAAAGCGATTGAATTTCCGCCTAGCCTTGATCATCATTACTAAAGTCAGTACGATAAACAGCATAGTCTCGATTATCCATTTAATCGTTAAATCGCGAAGGAAAGTTATGCAGTAAATCGGCTCACAATCCACTAAAGATCGCAGGCTAGCGATGTCAACTAGAGTTGATTATGGTCTGGATAGGTTAATTAATATCTAATTAATAATTTAGATAACATTTCAGGCCTAAAGAAAAACCCACAATAGACAGATTAAGCTCTCGCATAATGTATGTTTAATTTTTCTCTTTGGATGTATGAATTTCGCCACCCCTTTGGATCGATGGTGCTGTGCGTGTAATTTTTATTATGTTTTTTTTTTAAATATTCAATAGTCGCTGCCATTGGTGGTGGTATTGCAGGAGGGCTTATACTGATAATAAGTATCATTGTCATTATATGGTAGGTAAATTATATATTATGTAAGACAGAAGAGGGTGGGGGGGGGGGGGGCTAAATATCCATGGCGGTGCCCAGTGATTAACAGGTGACAACATTTGTGCCTGTTTTCCTCTGGGCTATTTATTTTCGGGTATGAATTATTGAAATCAATTTATACCACATTAATCCCTTAACGGCAAAGTTAAAGACCATATCTCTCTCTCTCTCTCTCTCTTTCTCTCTCTCACCCAAATGGGGGAATCGCGGTAGTGTGGTTTTCCTTTTTCATTGGAGCAGAGCCTGGAAAGGATCAGCGGTTAGTCGTTCGGATAGGAGAAATACTCCAGGTCTCATGTAGGCCGTATAGCCGATTTCCTGTCAAAACTTCCCTCATAGCACCCACTACATAGCTTATACCCGGTGAGCCCAGCAAAATAGAACATTAATCCCCATTTCTTCCTAATGAACAGTTTTACCAACTCAAAGAATACGTATTGTTGGTTATATATTTTAATTCGGATAACATAATGTTAATTATTTTCTAATTTCAGTGTTTGCAAACAGAGAAAGACGAATGACTATGACAAACCATCTAGCAACAAAGATGACAATCCATACCATACAAACATATATGAAAATGGTGGCCTTAATGAGGGAGAACAATCTTCGACCGCAACTCATTCCACCACGTCTCCCTGGAATCTCAACCCAGATAGACCGAATAGCTTACCTACAGATATGATTATTATGGAGAACGACATGTATATCAGCGCAGATTCCCTTCTACCTGATCGACACGAGCAGAATTCTAACATAGGAACCACAAATACTACACAACCTGAAGTCGAGGATAAACCATTTTCCTTGGATTCGAACCCGAATGTTAGTAATATGTATGCCAAGGTTAACAACGCCCCTAAGTCATCTAACCCTAAAAGACCATTAATACCGATGGTCCCTCCGGGGAGGTCTTCCAAGTCTAACGAATCAAAGTCACCTAACTCCGATAAGCCACCAATACCAATGGCCCCTCCAGGAAGTTCTTCCAATCCTAACGAATTCAATGCTAATGGAAATGACACTGTTCAGTATGCTGATATTCAGTTCGATAAAACAACCGAACTTTAAATAACACATCTGTGTGGTACAGGTTCAATGGATTATATCGAATATTTAAGCAAATAATGAAATATCTGAGATATGATTTAAACAATCTAAAACAGTTTTGATGATAGCCTATATATATTACCAGAATAACTTCAGCACAGCGCCTTTAAACTGTCATTATGGTCAAATTCGTATATGATAGTGTGTGTCACTGTTTATCAAACTGACAAAGCTGGGGAAACGGTATTCGCTCTTTGCTATGGAATTAAACTGTTTAGATAAACATTAGTATTTTGTTTATAAAATTAGATGTATATCTGTGTTTAAACTGCTGGGGGCCATAATCCCGGGGTTACTTTCTATCTGGTAGATTCAGTTTCAAAAATCATTATTTTAGCCAAAAGGTGTATTGTGTTCTATACCACTTTCTAATCGTCCCCATCTTACAGTTGCTGTAATTTTTGTTGTATTTTGAAATAGCTATTCTTTGATCACTGGCACAAATAAAATCAAACATATGCGTCTTTCAGGTGAAGCTATTGATCAACAGTAATCCGAAACAACTTGAACGAACACATCAGATCATCCCAATATAGTACTTTATTGTGACCTAATGCTGAAAGATTTATTCCCATTTTGAATTGCAATTTGCGAAAAGAAAAGTCTGTGACAAATGATTTGTGATATTATGTTAGGGATGGTGTAGATTGTGATCTGATTAAATAACCCATTCACCAGTAGGTACATGTATGGTTTTCAGTTCCAATCGAAATAGTAGGCTTACTGTGTATGTAATTAACCAACCGCAATGATTTTATTTCTTAAAGATTCAATGGATGGATTTTGAGTTAACGCAGTGGAAGCATCTACACCTATTATAAGGTTTTAACGTAATACAGCTTATCAATGTTACATATCACTTCTCAATTTATATTTATAGATGGACACTCCAACTATATCCATTCATTAAAGCCTAGCTAAATTTTAAAAAACAAAATACACCAGGAACAAACTTGTATAGGATACCAAAATTTTTACGGCCATTAGATTTAATGTGAAATAATCGAGCTTTACGTCTGAAAGAAATCGAATATTTTATTTCTGATACATGCAAAGCATGATATAAATAAGTTTACAACGAGTCATACCAGAAATCATTAATTTTCATGTTTTGCTCTGTCATATATTAAAATATATACAGCTATACAATGATTGCCAGAAGGATAAGGTCGACAAAAACCGGTAAACAGACATTTGTGTTTATTCTTTACACAAATATCTTTTTTAAATTATCAACACTTTGTGTATAACGATTACAATTCAACAATAACAGCGGCACAAAGGAAACATAAAGTAATAATACTTGGCATTTGCCCAATTTATAATTCTATAAATTGACCATTGTAAGCCGAGTTTGATAGGTAGAGAAGTAAAATTCAATGTCATCATGCGCCAATGCAATGAGTCACCTTACTTTTTGTGACCCAGCGCAGCCTAAGCAATTCAAATCAAGTTCGCCAACAAGCTTTTATAAAAGTTTACGGTCTCGTCACCGTGTAAAAATTACACCAACATTACCTACCTACAACGGTATCTCAATTCAGCACTTCCTGGTATTAGAAATGAGGTCGTATATTGTTGTCACACACACCGACCGTCCGTCCGTCCATCGTCCACAATTGCCTGTGGAGGCTATAGAGTTAGCATAGTTATCTGATGAACTTTAAAGGACAATATTACTGTCAGTCATTATCACATATGTGATAGAAATGGCTAAAATGTTATCACTCGTCACGCCAGTTTGTTATATAGAAGGATAACTCGTGTTTTCTTTGGAACGTATTTAACCAGCTCTATCAGAACTATTTTCTTTAAATTGATACACAGTGTCTAAGGTCATGAGGTGAAGAAGCGTAATGATTTTCAATTATTTCCATTGTGACCCTTGACCTCTTTGAAGAATCGTGTGGCCGCTTTAGATTTATACACAGTGGTTAAGATCACGAGACGAAGAATCCTGTTGATTTTTAGAGTAATTGCTTTGCTTTCCAATGGATTCTAATAAATACAGCCTGCGTTATGGCCCTTAAAATTCAATGATTTTTTTGTATACTAATCTTTTGCATGGAACAGAACTATAAACCATTCTTATGATTTCTGACATTCACTTAATGTGTTGTTACTCTTATCAGATTTTAGTGTATTGTAAATATGCGACAACCCCTGTTGATCGACTGCACGGACGACTTAGCTGTTGTTGACGCCTGGAAACCTATCTTTTAATCTTAATTACTTTGTGAAGATAAAACGGGTGAGTAAAGAATGGCACATTTGAATCCAATGTCCAAAAGTTTGTTACTATTTTGGGGACCCCGGTGGTCCGGTGATGATGGCACTTTCTCGCAAACAATTTGGTCCCTTGTTCGAGCTCGGTTTTGGTTTGGCCGAGAAAGTTCCTCGTAGTTTTCCTATGTGTGGTTTCCTGGAAAGAGAATAGGGTGAGGACTGGGAAAGAAAGTCAGTCGTTCGGGTGGGACGACAAATCATACATAAACAGTAAATGACTTCCTGGTTTACCTGGTAGGGTGGATACAGATGAAGATAAACTATCACAGATTTGTCATGGCTAGTTATTTACTATTTGTTATAACAATAAACTGTGTCTATATTAGCTAAAGAGGTGTGCAATATAATGAAGTCTTTAAGGAGCTATATATGGTATTATCTTCCTCAATTTCTTTCTACATAAATATACTGTCAGAACAGATATTATGGGAAAATACATTCTTAAATACGAACATACAGGGTATAGATTAATCTAATAGGTTGATGTTCTGCTGAGGGTCTATAGTGATTGACATACCAGTTATTAGCTAAAGTACCATAATCAACCAAGTTCTTTAATTGTCAGTAAAAGGTTCAATCTAAGATGGGCTACCTTTTAACAGCTGTACTTCTAATAACGTCGGGATTCTATATTGGTCAACTTGCAGGTAACTATTATTATAGTCAATATTGATGTTTTTGGGACATATTCCACATGTATTTCCTGATATGATGCCCTTTAATAGCCCTTTAATATAATATTCAAAGAGAAGTAGCGGTGATGGACACGTACAAATACGTATCGTACTCAACACACGAGCGGATAAAACTGTAAACGCTTAAACATGCATTATGCAAGAGCTAGATCTGTCTATTGCAGGTCTTTCTTTAGGCCTGAAATGTTATCTAAATTATTACTAAGACATTAATTAACCTGTCCAGACCATAATTAAATCTAGATGGGATCGCTAGTCTGCGATCTTTAGTGGATTATGAGTCGATTTACTGCATAACTTTCCTTCACGATCTAACGATTAAATGGATAATCGAGACTATGCTGTTTATCGTACTGACTTTAGTAATGATGATCGAGGCTAGGCGGAAATTTCAATCGCTTAGTTCTCGGTACATAGTGGATCAATTTCAATGAAATTTTCAGCAAATTGCCTTTACATTATCTAGTTTATAACTATTATAGTGAGAACTGCCAACTCGTTATCGAATCTCCCATAATGTATCTTTAATATTCTGGTAACCTTTAACCACTGATATAATAATGCATGTTAGGTACCGATTGTTATATATTGTTATATTTTCAAATCCTTATAGGAATAGCGGATGAGTGTACTACAGGAGAAAATATAGGTGAGATATGTTTACTAAATGTTCTATATAAATTAGATATAACAACGCCAATATGTCAAATTACTGTCCACCAAAAACAAAATAGGAACTTATTGACTTACGTATTACGAATTTGATTTGCACGAATATGTTTGAGATATTTATATATTCAATTGTAGTAACGAATTTACGGCAAAATGTCTTGTCACGAAATTTCAATTTTCTCTGATTGTTTACAGTGCTACCATGTAGTGATGTTACCATACCAACCAATCAGATGTTTATACCTGTTAATGGTAGTATATTAAGAGATGGCGCTAATGGTTGTATATGTAGTTTTACCATTATCGAAACACCTGATAACACCACCTTCAATAATATCAACATTAGTGTTGTAAAGCAGAATAAAGGTTGTGGATATAAGGTTATCTATGATAAAGGATTTATTAACTGTGAGAAAATGAATTCGTCTGTATCGAACAACCTCAGAATGTATAATGTTACGTGGTTAGCCTTTACAAAGGATTATACTGACGGTTTGTCAGAAACAGAAGGCTACTGCCTAAACGTAATAACGTCAAATGCAGGTAAGACAGTTAAATTCCAAACTTAAAGATACTTTCCCGTGTACAAACGGTGTGATTTGATGATATATTTGGACTAAAAACATGTTCAAACTAATTAATCTATCTAAAGTTTGCTTGTAATCCCTCTTAAAACTTTGAGTATAAATACCTAAAAGTATAAATAAACTGTTGTTAGACGTCATATTTGTCAACTCAATTAGTTGAGGGAGGGTCCATTTTTCAGAATGTATTTTTCATCACTTACTGCTCATTTATCATACATATTGAGGCCTAATTAATTATTTTCTGTCAATTTCTTTTGTACGTTGACATCCCTCAATGTTCCCCAAACCCTCTAACCATTTGATCAAGAAATAACAACCGCGCACTCAGTCAAGCTAGCGCACAATAAGCTGCCAGACAACAGTCGGATTGCCAGTTAGTGATACCCTGACATTTTTGCCCAGTGCTTGCCGCATGACTGTTTTTCCGGTAATCCATTATTTATCTAGTAAGATTGGGTGTATATATTTCCCATATATACCAAATTGACCATACTTTTACTGGAAATAACCACGCGAAAAATACGTTCGGGACAATGTATCTTTAAATTGCAACGAATCTGGGGGGGGGGGGGTTGAAAAAATAGTCCCTGCATTTTATCATTTAAACAATAGCTCAATATTGTGGTAATCAAAATTTATTAATAATATATAAATAAAAAGTATTACATTTCAATATTTCTCCCACTGCCACCATCCACTGTTTGTGATATCCCCAACTACAATTTCATGTGATATATATTTTGTTTACTACTGTTCATTTACACCCGATCTTGTCTATTTAGATGTTAAAGTGACCAAAACGTGCTATAATATGATTTCGCCATCGACATCAGCAGCTCCAACAACACCTACAACCAAGCAACAGCCAGCAACATCGGTTCCAGTAACACCATCTCCAATAACAACCATTTCAGAAATACTAACACCATTTATAACAACCATTTCGCCATCATTCTCAGCAACATCGGAACCAGTAAACCCATCTACAACAACAACCATTTCAGCAGCACAAACACCCTCTGTAACAACCCTTTCGCCATCATTCTCATCATCATCGCCGCACCAAAAATCAACAACAGTCATTTCAAAACCACTATCAAAATCTATAACAAACCATCCATCTATCGCCTCTTCCGCACCACCACCACCATCATCATCATCATCATCATCATCCCATGCCAGACAATCCACAACAATCAAATCATCATCTGTTCAGCAGGAATATACACGCACACAACTAGTACCAAGAGCAACGACACCTACCTATGATCCAAGTAAACCATCAGGAAATTTAGCAATACTAGGTAAGATATCGATATATCATCAATTATAAACCTTTGTTGGTAAAAGATTCTTTGATCTTTTAGTTACATTCAACTTGTTGTTAATTACAGTATATGGTATAATAGGAGGAGTAACTGGGTTATGTCTGTTAATAATTGTTATCATAATGATAGTATGGTAGGTACATTCTTCTTTAATCCTCAATATTAAAAAAACAGCAGTCGTGTTAGATAATCTTCCTGATGGAAATGTCACTGGGGTTTTTGCATCAATAGTAAAAGGGGATAACCCGGTTCAAGCCACCTGGTTGCCTTACCATAGCTGCGAAAATGTACGTACCGTAACATATGACATATTTATTTATGTTACAATTATTTTAGAACAAATTGTGCCCCACTAGCACTCCCACCCCACCCCCGCTTAATCCTGGGATCAGAATGTCGCACGCATAGAAACACCATCCGTTTTTATCAAATAATGTACAAAGCCTAAAGAAGCATGAAAAACGGCACGTGAACGAAGTTTTGGCAGAGTCAATTCGACAAAAAGTAGAATACTTCGAATCTGTCACGTGTGAAACTGCATGAGGAAATATAAATAACGGTTTGCCGCAAAGAGTTACTTTTGAAAATAAACTATACAAGCGGTTGCTATGCAAGCAAGATACGCCCACAGTTTGCAAGAGATGGGCAGAGAACGAGCTAAAAAAAACCAAAAGCCATAATCTAGGAACATACTTTTACATCCACGCTTATGAGGAGCGGCCATTTTGTCGGGCAGCATAAGGCACAGTTTTCATGAAAACCCAACTTAGCCATCATTTGGGTATAACGGTGATAAGTTTGAACGGTTTTGTAAATTGGATAAAAATTGTGATCTCTTGCGCGACCACAAGCTAAAAAGCGTTATTTCTCCTACAACCAGGGGTCATAATCCAGGATGTTACTGTCGGAGCAGAACAGTAGGACGTTAAACCCCATTTCATTTCATTTTTCATTTCTATATTATACATATATTGATACAAATCATATCATATATAAATTTTTTGCATCGCTTGCCTAGTGACAATGCAGTGTATAGCGACCAATCCCGTACGTTATATATTCTAAGAGGTGATAAACAAGTCCATAAAAGGGCAGTTAATATCGAGTTAATAATACTTACATAGGCGTACGCGGAGATGGGGTGGGGGGGGCAAGGAGTTGGCGAAATAAAGTGCACGAAATTTAATAAAACGCAAATTTTACATTTCGTTTAATTGAATACGATTGAAATTTTGCATACAGTTAGAAAAAATCCTGAGAATCATTAATCTGTTTAAATTGTCAAAATCGGTTCAGAAATGTTATTATTGTAGCTGGTTTTATATACCCATAGGTAAGCAGCGTTTACCAAAATTCTGTCAAAAACGAGCAAAAATGATAAAATAATATTTTGACTGACTGAATGATTTCGGTACAGGCTCAAATTATACACATATGTGCTAGCGATACACATGTACTAAAATCTACCACAAAATTTTGTTTTTTACCTTTTATTTGGACAAAATTGAAAGGAAATCAGACATATGTCGTACAGAAAAGTAATAAAAATAACAATATTAAAGAAAATCATAAAAAAAAAATCAGTAGATCTTGAAAATTGGTTTTCTGATTGTAGAATAATAAAATCAAACTAGGAAGTATGTTTTCTTTGACCAGTTATGAAATATCAAATAAAATATGAAACTCAATAAAAGGAAATGAATCGTAACAAACAAAAACCTGTTACACTAAGGTAGGCCTACATAATACATATATGTCTACATCATATTTACTAAGTTAAAATCAACAATAAAACTATTTCAATAATTTTTAATTGGGATAAAATAAAAGGAAAATGGTCTTATTTCTGACTGGAGTTGGAAAAAATAACAATATCACAAAAAGACATTAGAAACTGGTTTTCTTTCAGATGTTGAAATGATAAAACCAAACCAGAATTTTAAGTTTTCTCTGAATAATTATAAAATAACATTTTTATATCCTTTACAATTTTAAAATAACAAAAAAACCCTCGACAAATGAACCATCATTATGACATATGCCATACAAAGAAAAACTGTAGCCTAATAGCTGTAACCAATAACAATAAAAACAATATGGCAGCTGAATTTCAATTAGGTCCTTTACCAAGCTCTAGGAACCTGAAAAATTATAGTAAATATTTATATGATTAAACAATATTGGTAAACAATAATCAAATGGAATGGCCAATAATGAAATAAAGTTTAATTTTGACACCATGAATACATGGACGGAAATGAACTACGCCGTGTCCCGTGATATGTGCTATGAAGAATATTTTTATACCGTACTACTGAAATTGAAAACGCATACGATTCAAACTATTTTTATTTTTGTCGTCTCAAAGAATTAAAATTGTTAATATTTCAATTATTTTCTCGCATTTCCGCGTATCTAACGGTCGTCTAACTGTAATTTGATATAGTCTCGATCACCAGTACCTCATAGTGCAAAGCGTACGGGGAATATTCGTCTGAATGATAGAGACTACATTTGGCACGCCTTTACAGTATGGCCGATAAAATTTCGGTCACCTCATAAAAAATTGAATTTTTACGACTTTTAGGTCGACCTGTGGAAATAAATGAAGATGGATCTTATAAAGGAATATTTCATCCATAATTTAGCAAGTTCTTTTTCGCTCCGCATCTTCCACGAAAAAAGTATCGAAATTTTAAACTTTTCAATCGGAGAAAAAAAATATTCTTACCTTGTTATGTGTGACAAAATGTCCACGCGGAGCAACCTTGACATCTTATCTAACTGTTTTCGGTTGAATGGAACCCGTATCAATTGTATAGAACCGACACGAGGCCGTAATGCAAGATCTACTTTTCGCGAAAAAAATGCGCCATATTTGTGACAGCCAATTAAGAAAAACAATTACGTTCATTTTTCTGTTGGCAGACGCTATATAAAGAATTTTGTCTGGTGCCACTCAACTTTGTGCGACATTTTTCTGGCACCGATTTTTATTTTTTAAAGTTCAAAATTTACTCCGGGTGCGCGAATCCCCCATACTCCGCGACGATTGATTGGTTGTTTGGGATTTGGGATTCAGGTAAGACACCTACTATATTGGACCACATTGAAGTTGCCGTATTCACCGATTGGAATAGCAGAAAAATGCGTTTGCGCCATTAAATTTTCAAACATTCATCGAGCTCATACGCCTATGCATCACTGGATCATTTTATGTATTATTTAATGTGATATTTCTAGATTTATCTTGGTATTCTGGTTATTAAATAATTTAAAAGTCACGCCATAATCCAAATGTATAAATAATGAGTTTATTTATCGTTGATGTTATATATACGTATACAATTTCCCACAACGTCTTCTTTATATTAATATTGGCATACTTATTCAACAAGTACGTTACACAAATACCTATTATATTTTTACACATATTGTGACGGCGTTAAGGGGCATAATTAAAAGGTCTGACTATATTCATTTTACTCGTGCAAACCAGTGAGGTGTTATAATATATAGTTACATACAAATAGATGTTAATACAACCGGCTCAACGCTAGGTTCCCACTATCACGATTCGCGTTTGCGGCCATCAAGTTTTCCATTTTTTTTCGGGGGGTGGGGGGGGGGTGTCTATATGGTAATCTCCGCAGACGACCGGCTGTAACTCGAATATTTTGGGGGCATTTCAGGTTTTTCCAACCATCATTCATCGAGCCCGTACGTCTATAATTATTTTGATTTCCTAAATGACAAACTGTCAATATAATGATACACAGTAATAAAGTTGTACAAGTTGGAACGAGTAGACATGTTTTATTATGTACACACACTACAACCACACAATCATATAAAAGACCTACCAGAACATTAGTGTTAACTAATACTTATATTTCAATAATCTTTTGGCATGTTCTGCATACTGTTAAGTCCAAAATATTTTCTATTTTTAGTATTTGCAAACAAAGACATAAGAATGATCACTACAAACCGTCCGAAAAAAACGAGGAAAATCACAATTCCAAAAGCGTACCACCAAAAGGTGAGATGAATATACCAGAAAATGATTTAGACGTTAGCCAAGGGGAAAACCAGTCATTTTCAGTTACCAGAGAGTCTCATGAAAATAATCCAGGCTTTCTTTCAACGCAATATCCAAACGATGTGGTTATTATGGAACATGAATCTGATGTACCATCTCCAACATCAAATCTACAAGGTGCTCCTGGTAATAATAACCATGACAGACATGATATAAACGGTATAGCAAGCGACCAATAGCACGGAAACCACCAACAAGATCTTCCACAAACAGAGCCGGAACCGTAAATTCGACGAGTTCGAGGCCGACATGTTGTTTTAAGTTTGGCAACGTTTGCAATTCGATGGGTGACTATATTACCAAGACAAGCGCATCTGTTCTTTAACATGTACACCACGTCGCCTTAAATCTCAGAAAGTCCCCACTTGTTTACGAGTAGTTTAATTTAATATTGAATTCATTCCGATACTTCTAGCCACGTTTATCTCATCAATGCTTGAATTGTTTCTTTTTTTTATAACGCTTTATGTTGTAATTGCTATTCATGTTCATCTTGTTTATATAGACTTTTAAATAACTATGCATCATTATTGTCTACCTTGATCATCCTATATTACTTCCTTGTCAAGCGAGACTGGGCGTGGGAAAACGTAAAGTTTAACAACTAATCAAAATTCAAATTCGGCAACATGAAAATTGGTATTTGGGCGAAACAACCTGGGCAATAATAGAGACAAATTATGGTTACATACCCAGTCTATAGCTTAATGACACAGACTCGTGATTGTTTTAGTATTTTTTTATGTCTGTCAAGGCTACTCGGGTCCAAAAAACATATATATATATAGCAATGAAATTTTGTCACGTTCTTCTAACTTCTTTCTAGTCTTTGATAACTAGACTGAAAGAAGTAGTCACTTTAAACTGGAAATAATATCATATTCAAAATAACCCCATACTCTTCTATTTTTCCAATGTACAAGCACTGGTTTTACGAGGAACTTTTTAAACATCTACTTCTAAAACGCCCATATATCATCAGTGGATTACCAGATAGATTCAATATTTCCAATTGTTAAACTTTTCAGGCATGGCCAAATCGCAAAAATTACAGATCGTGATTTGATTCAGTATCAACTATTTGGAACAACCCAAATGAACTGTTTGGTCACTATTTTAAAATGCTTTTTTTGATATTTGTCGTGTTGTTTATTTTAGTTGTATGGATATGTGTGTCATATATATGGCTTAATATGGTAATGGTTAAAATAAATTAAACGAATAGGTTTTTTTATAGTAGTAACTAGTAATATATATACACAGTAAAACGAATATCGTTCATTGTACTATTTCTAGAACATCTGATACAACTTCTCATTGGGGTTTTCACATAGCTAACAAAACTTTTGTTGTACTTTAAATGTCAATTCACACATCAGTGTGCAGATGAATAATATGTTGAAATATGTCTTTGTCAGTCAAATCCGCTAAGTTGTTTATTACATGTACATGTATTCAGTCTAAACATAAATAGCGGTTTGACATATGTACCTATTTATAACAACTTACTATACCTGTGTAAAGCTTGATTAACAGACCGTGTATCTTTTATATCCTTGATGTTTTTGTGTTTTTTTTTACATAATTATACTGAGTTGTCAAATAAAAACGACACGGCTTAGAAAATAAGCTGTATTAATTTTGAAAGGAGGATAGGAATGAGGAATAATTTAAAATTGTACAGCCTCATGGCAAAATAACGTCACTCGTAACTTGTCATAGAACATAGGTATACCGTAGGCCTAATGAACTTCCTTTATCATGTTATCACTGTGTACCATTACAAATTAGGGTGGTTTATCATTTTTATCGGTATAGAAAAACCGCCAGAGGTGTGCGCAGGGTGTTTATTCGAAGGGGAAAGGGGGTTACGGCGTACGTGAAAATTTTGAAAACTCGGTGTGTGACTTGTGGTGAATGTCTGGATGCGGAAAGTAACATCCAATTTCACTCCCTCATCACACTAACCAACCAAAAGATCAAACATAGACGGTTCGTGGAAGCAAAATGCTATGGACCGCACCCGAATCATCCATTGAACATTGTATATCGTTACAAAGTCCATGGTGGTGTTTTGACCGAAAAAAATGCGTTTGTCTAAGAGAAATGTGGGATGAAATACAATCGGATTTAACGTTCTATTGTTCTGCTTCGGCTGGGCTAATGAATACGGGCATACGCCATACAGTACCCGGACTGCGGTGCTACAGCATACTCTTATATCGAATTCCAAATTCCAACTGTATGTATCATTTACGTGCGCGCCAATGAAAACATGGCATTCGAATATTCTAAGAACGAAATAAGGAGGAAGGCCTGACAACTTCAAAAGATATAACGCAATCTTTACCGAACCATTGTGGGGTTGGATGGCCGAATGGTTAGCTCGAGCGCGTTGTTTTTAAGGTCTGTTATTGAGTCAACTGGCGTAGTAGCGATTCCTCGATTGTACGTGACAAGAAGTAGGGTCGCCTGTCCAACCGCGTGGGTTTCCTCGGGTTCCCCAGTTTTCTCCCACTGCTAAAGACCCCTACGCGCAAGCGAATTATTGAAATAAAATTGAACCATATGTTATTCCCGAAATGACTAGTTTGTGTCGATTGGACGTTAAACCCCATTTCTCGCTCTCCCTATCCGAACCATTTAAATTCATTTAAATGTGGTCTCATCATCATGTGAACTAAATATAACATCCTGTAGATTAAAATACTAGATTATGCATATTAAAAATCATTCAAGCATGTTACGTAAATATATAACATCGTGTTGATTTAAACACATATTTATACATATTACAAGGTATAGCCAAGGAAGTAAGAAGTTTGTAGAAGATTTAACTATATCGAGATGTGTAATTATGGAATATTAGCCACAATTATCGTGATACTTATAGGTCTATGTATGACTGGAACTTATGGTAAGTCGATCAAAATATTAAATATTATATAAACATAGCACCTGAGTGCCGAAATACTCTAAGTTCGTACCGGAGTAAAACTTCATTGCCTGTTGCGTTATTGTCTTTGAATAGTGATGGAGACAGAAATGGTGTTTAACTTTAACACAAACTAGGTCATTTACTCATTTCAGGAGAAAACCACGAGGTTAGACAGGCGACACTACTTCCTGTCACGTTCAAACGGGGAATCGAAACCACGTCACTTGACATGATTTGACTTCATGTTCGAATTCTTTGGTTACATGATTCTGTATGTCCACAAATCATTTTTTATGAACTAAAGTGAACTGTTTAGCCGACATTTGGAAGAACAGAAGTTGAATAGACGGCCATCTTGGATTTATGCAAATTAAATCTTTTCCAATTGTTCGTAAATGCAGAATACCCTACTGAATGATAACTAAAAGATAATTCTTGCGGCGCAATTTGTTTTTAGGGCGTTTTTTATATTTACTAAACTGTATTACTCTGGTAAGTAACTTTAATGTAAACAGATTCCCATGTTACACACATCAAATCTGTCGGATAGTAAAAATCCATAAAAAGCCAACATGGTGAATATTTAATGGAACAGGTGGACAGTCATACTATAGGTTAGTTTAAATATTCCAAAACAAACGGATAATTTTCTGAATAAACTTCATAAATTTAATCATTAAATTCCCAATGCGCCATTTTTTCCCAAATTTTGAAAATAAAAGGATGTTATTCAGACCTATTTGTCAGGTATCTAGAGTCCCGGACGATTTGTTTAGTCCTTGGCTAAGTCCTTGCATCATTCGGTATAATTAATCAATCAGATATTTAATAACTAGAATACAAGCAATATAAAAGACCGGGACTAATCTTGCAGAACTAGAAAGAGATTTCAATTTTTTACCAAAAAAAAATGATGTAACATTTCCGGCAATCTAGTCATGCTGGCTAGATTGAGCGGAGTTGGTCGAGATAGATTTATGCTCATATACTGTGTATCCTGCATTTAAAGTGATATTGTTGTGTTATTCTTAGTCGAATGTGAGGTTAGTCGTAACACGTTCCTTTCAAGGACGACATCGTTTGTACGCCAGACACTGTATTAAGTCAATGGGTCACTTCAGCGGTCAAACGCCAGTGGCACAACACTGAATCGCAGCCGTTTAATTATTGAACAAAACAACAGAGTTCTGTTTTGATTAAACAAATTGGCGGTTTAATAAGATATCAGATTGTTAATAATAAAAGTTATAAAAGACAAAACTAGCTACATTTACACTTCACATAAATTCAGGTTTGACAGCTCTCAGTTCACGATATCACTTCACAGCTGACTCGGCAATTGAGTCAATTTTCACATCGAGTTCACAAGAATAGACAAAGTTCGCTGTTCACAAACGTTAGATTAATATACTGAGCGCCATGGAAAACGCATCACTTAGTTTTTCGTATAACAAAATGATTCTGTAAACATATCTTATTTATTTTGCTTCTTATTGTGAACAATATTCAAATGGGAACACATCAATAACAACACATTTTTACACTTATGGATGTTTAATCTGTAATCAAGGGTACAAAGTCAGAGGGGTCAAAACCAAAAGTACGACACAGATGTCAGTAGCGCATGTGTCCCCCACGCGACCCCTGCAAATGTGTAGGGCGGTCCGGTGATGAAATGTGAAGCCTCCCCACACCACTACACTTCCCCCACCTCATCGATTCGTTTCGAAGACGCAGCAATCTGCAAGACGTTCCCCAAGACGTCTCCACACACGCTGACGGCCATCAGCGTGATAAAGATGAAAGCGACTCTCATCACTGAAGAGCACACTTTGCCAGTCTACTCTTCTCCATGTCTGGTGTCCTTGAGCCCATATCAAACGCCGCTGACGGTGATGATCCCTGAGGATAGCTCCAACATAAGGTCGTCGTGCACGGAGTCCTACTTCTCTTAGACGACGTCTTATGGTGTTGGCACTTACTGGTCCTTGTCTCCCGACGACTGCTGCACCTGTTCGAGTCGCTGGGCGGAATCTGTCACGCAGATGAGTGACCCGGATGTAGCGGTCTTGAGCCTGGGTTGTAACGCGTTGTGGACCAGGACGTTGACGGTCACGTGTTGACCCAGTAATTCGAACACGTTCCACCAACCTTACAATAGTGGACTGATGACAATTGAAGTGTCTGGCAATAGCACATGTAGACATGCCAGCCCTGGACATTCCCATGGCTTCATTCCGTTGATTTTCAGTAAGTCTCGACATCTCTAGCTCGATTCCTTCACACGTCCAACAACAAATTACGACAGATTGACGTTTCCCAGTTCATGTACTGTACATTAAGTTGAAAACATGCTTTTAAAGGGCTCACACACTTTGCTGCACGTGAATATTGGGTTTTTCATGTGCATCTCGTGCAATTTTTTTTTTGCACACGGGCCGATTTTTTTTGCGTTTGGGAGCATTGTGTGAAACAATAGTTCATAGTATTGCATAATATTATACATACAAAACCACCTAGTAATAAAATATTTGGAGAAAAAAAGTGATGCGTTTTCCATGGCGCTCAATATAGTTCAATCGCACATTACACTAATTCACATACAGTGTCGCGGTAAAAATCCAATATCACGACCGCCGTTTAAGAAGACCGCCTCACACGTATTGACATGCACGCCATTTTCGCCGTTTCTATGGTGGACCGTTTTGAACATTACATTGAATATTATGGTCAATAAGGTTGACTCCAAGATTTGAAAGCTGTGACATTATATTGGTACTCATGCCTCGGCCGGCGATTAATGGCCAAAACAAAGTATGTGTATCAGGTATAGTGCCACGCGTTGGATTTGGAAAGCTTGTGATGTCGCTACCATATTCGAGCGGCTATCGTACACTGAGCACATATTAGCGTTGATTAAGCCGCGAAAAATGCACAAAATGATTCATTGTTACGTTATAGTCGTAACCCTAAAAAAAAAATTAAAAAACAAAAAAAAACAAAACATAAACCGTAGTAAATATAATTGAAATTGAAGAATGCCTTACTGTTCTGCACAGACTTTGCTGAAGACGGCGTAGTAAATATAAATTGTGATAAAGGATTTTACACTTTGGCTGGACTTCACATTTTTGACTTGGTAGCTTTATTCTTAGTGACTTTCTGGATTGAATAAAAAAATCAATGATTCGTGTGTCTGACGTCTAGTTATTATGGGTTTCCAATTGCATAAACTCTGTTGCAAAAACAGTTTTAATTCCAATTTTCTATTCTTCGATTTTTGACCTTTACTATGATACTAAATGAGCAATATGGATTTTCGTGGTTTTTTTAACGTAGTGTTTACTATTCGCAAGTAATACCCGCTGTATAAGCTACAAGAGTATTGTTTATGTCAGTGGTAGGCAAACGTTTTAGGTGAAGGGCCAAACAAAAAGTTTTGAAACGAAACGAGGGCCAAACAAGGATTATATGAAATGTCATTTTATGGAATAAAGTAATACTGAACAAAGCACCATTTCTGCGCTTTTATTCTACTCCATAGTTATATTTAGAGAAAAAATCAAAGCATGTCAACAAATCAAACCATAACGTAAAATGAAATTAGATCCAAGTCAAGTGATGTCAATTAGGCAACTGCGTCGTTGAGTGACGCTGCAAGCTATAAATAGACTTTAAAAGATTATTGATCCTACAGAGAGTAACGCCTGTTAGAGTTAGGCCCGAACAATCAGCAATTTCGATTTTTTAAAATTTCATTTAGAGATAAACTTACACATAAATTTTCACATGTAGTGGAAGGGTCTGGCGGGCCGGATTTGGCCCGCGGGTGTTATAGTTTGTCCACCACTGGTTTATGTCATATACATATGTTGTTATTACAGGAATGGCAGATGAATGCATTAATGGTCCAGATATAGGTGAGATATTCTATACAATGTATCTCTTGACTTCTAACTCTTGTTCATGTATTGTCTATCAAGTCCTTCTAAAAATCATTGTAGCTATCAACAGATCTTATACATGGAACTGCATCCACATACATATTGATTGTATAAGTTAAACAGTTTACAAAATAAAATGATTTAAACATACATTTATTAGCTGCGAGTGATCCATAAAATCCACCAGCCACTTTTGGATTTGGCGCCAATAAAAGTAGAGTGAGATTTAACAGTTTCACTGTCAGGATTTAGCCATACTATTAGTTCCTGACGAATAAAGTTAAGATAAACAAGTTTAATGTTTGCGTTTTTCAAAATGGACAACGTTAATTATAAAAACATAAACATTAACATATATTATTTTAATTTAGATATTTATCTAGATTGTTATTTCATTGTAATAAGATGATAAACTCATTGGAATATATTTGGACATTTATTATTGACCTGGACTATTTATTATTTTTTTTACAGTACCAGTATGTAGTAATGTTACCATGTCAACCAATGATATGTTTATACCTGTTAATAGTAGTATTGGTACAGGTTGTATGTGTGATGTTCAGTTAGTAGACGCCTCAGGTGACGCGTGGTATAATGTGGCTTTTATAGGTGTAGATGTCAATAATCTAACTTGTGGATATCAAATGCAGATAGAAAAAACTATTTCCTGTTCAGAGCATAGATCAATATTGGGTCGTTGGAGATTAGACCAGATTTATAGTCTGAGATTTACGAGAGATTCTACCCCGAACCCACCATCTACAGCAGGTTTCTGTTTCCGAGTTATTTCTGTAACAAGAGGTAAGATCTGCATTCTATTTATATGTATATATTCTTATGAAACATAACTTTTTGACTGTTCCGCTGATTTCATTATAAAAATACATTTTTGATTTATTTTCTGTTAACAAGATAACAGTTTTAATATTATTTGAAATGAGGTTTGTGTTTTACTCAGAGACCAGGTTTAGTGTGAGTTTGTTTTATGTTATATAGATGCTACAGGGTTTATATTTTACCCAGATGCGAGGTTCAAAATGAAATGTTGGTATATAAACACACCGACAACAACAGACACGTTATCATCATCACCATTCTTGTCGCCAATAACAAACATACAAAACGCAACCATCTCTTCTCAACAAGCAACACAATCATCTGATCGAACTTCTACACCAAAATATAATTCGAAGAGGGAAGTAACTGATAATCTGATAGACGAGAAACTACCAGGTAAAATAATCATCGACATGGTCGACATTCTTTCATCTAAAAAAATTTAGCTTGGTGTAAGTTGATATAGAGCTAACTTTACTTGATGTAAATTTATTGTTAACTTGAACACATGATCTGTGTTTGTAACGAAAAGTCATTATTAAATAGAAGCGAAGACTATGTGTATCTATGCATTTATACCCAGTGTTGTTTTGTTTGAATGATTGACCGTACATAAAGATATTATTTAAAGCTCAGTAGCTCAGTGAAGACGTTGGCTTGCTAAAAGGTCCCGTGTTCGATCCCTGCGTTGACCGAGAAAGTTCAACGGGATTTTACAGCGTGGTTCCTCCTTGTCAGTAGCGCAGGACCGAGGACTTGGCAAGGGACAACGTATAGTCACGTTAAAGACCCCTTGACAGTTGAAATTCGATATTATAAGAGTAGGCTATAGCACCGCTGTGCGGGCAAATGTCCCCCCTAGCACACTGTATGGCATATGCCCGTCTTCATTAGCCCATTTGGGACTGAACAGTAGGACGTATAACCCCATTTCATTTGATTTGAGGCTTATAGATTCACCTTCAGTTAATACACATTACGGTTAGATAAACAAGGAACAGCAATTGCAGTATAAATTGAACTTTTACGATGTTGTTTAGACACAGATCTAAGATTAAATGTTAGAAAAATATTAATATTTTAGTTGCTGCTATTGGTGGAGATACCTATTATTGTATTTGTATATTTTTAGTTGCTGCTATTGGTGAAGGCATATATTGTTATATTTCTGTATTGTAGTTGCTGCTATTGGTGGAGGTATAGGAGGGGCTGTTCTGTTATTGATTGTTTTTATAGCCATCGTGTTGTAAGTACAATATATTTAATTTATTTTATTTCTAACTTACCATATAAATGCTGATACAACATTGCCCACTTTGTACTCAATTACGCTGGCTTTAAGACACCATTTAGATGGTTGTAATCGATTATCGGCGGCCCGCGACTTTCAAAATACGAAAGCGATCATCTTAAAGCTAGTATGACCAAAAGGTCGCCGCAAAAAGGTACCGATATCGGCCATTCTTTTAGCCGACTCCTGTTGGCTTACCCACCGCTTTTTGTTTAGATATATACAATCCAGCCACACAGGTTTTGTGAGTAAGCTGCTGGTAAATAACCAGCATGTCAGGATTTCGGTGTTGGTCGGGTCAGGTCTTTGTTGTTAGTTCCTTATGGTGAGGGGGATTTGTCAGCATAGTATTGCCGTGTCATAATGTTATGGATTTGCGATATCACGACCCAATGACGTTGTCGGAAAGTCATTATTCCGGTAGATTCAGTTGTATAACCTCCTATAATGCGAAGCAGTATCGTGTGTTCTAGAACACACAGGCATAAACGTCACATGGCTTTGCGATATCAGGACCGAAGATCGTTGTCAAAGTCATCAGTCCTGTTGTTTGAGTACAACAGGAGCTGTGTAGTAACCTCCTATAGCAGTATGTGTGTTCTGGAACGCACAGGTATAAACATGTCACTATATGTTACCTTGCCCAATCGTCGAGGGAAATGTGAGTGGTTGGGTCGCCTGCGGACCTGTTAAGACGACATTCATTTTTACGTATCTTAAAATGTATTTCTTTTTTTTTCAGTTTATGTAAGAGACGACAACAGAATGACTATGATAAACCATCTAATAGAATAAGAGAAAGTACCAACTACAATAATGTACGTGTGAAGGATGAGATGATTATTACAGATAATGATTTGTATGTTAGTTATGACGATGATAAAAACCAGTCCACAACATCCCCTACTTCAGATCTACAAACTGTACAAGGACATACATATGCCAATACTAATGGTCCACTGTCATCAGATACAAACCATTCAACTCCAGATCTACAACATGTACAGGGCCATACATATGCCAATTTTGCTGGGCAACAACCATCAAATACAAACCAATCTACTTCAGATCAACATCTTGTTCAACCATCGGTCACCACTTCTGACAATAAATCAACCCAAGACGACATGATCATTCTAGAAAATGATTTATATGTGAGCGCGGATTCTATTCCAAATTCTTCCGCTACAGAAAATAAGCTAACGTGCCACGAACAATTGGACAAACGGAATTTGAATTAGAAACTAATCCCTATGTAAATAATGTGTATGCCGTCGTTAATAAAAACCGGAAACCAATAATAATTCAGAAAAAAATAAACATCGAATTAAAAACGATAACAGATCATGATTCTCAAGGAAAAACTTCCCATGTTGCAAAGTGGATTGTACAACAATTTATCACCCAATAATACATTCTACAGTAGATATCGCTTGTGTGATCAATTTCATAATCTACTGCGATATCTTCTTAGGAGATATCGCATTACATGAATTTGATTGTGCAGTTAGAAAGGAACTACTTTTTTGTATTTTCAAAGAACAGTTCATTTTTTTATTAAAAGTAAACTTTTTTTTTAATTAAAAATGAATTATTTTTATTTAATTGATTTTGATGGAAACACTGGGTCAATATAAAGGATTTTGCAATAGTTGAATTGCTGTCAAAAAACAATGTATCACTGAGCCGTAATGTAATCAGGTTCAGTAAAAGTGAAGTCTATAGCAAAGAGTTATATTTATTTATTTGTGCACGTAAGAAAGGATTGGGTGATAAATAAAATCTCCTACTCGTCTTTTTTGATATCAAAAAAGACTCGTAGGAGATTCTCTATATAGTCGAACATTGGCAATAGTGTAAAATATAACATGTAGATTTTAAAATAACTTATTAGTATGTCAAAATAATCTATGCAATGATTTAGTGCTTTCATTTAATATTTGATTTTCAATCATTTATATGTCAACAGTATCTTGTATCATTAGTGTAGTATATTGTATTGAAGGCTACTGGTACACGACTAGGTATGTTGTTACAAATCTAGGAATTTTGTTACAAATCTAGGTATTTTGTTACAAAACTAGGTATTTTGTAATAAAATTAGGTACTTTGCTACCAAACTTATTGCTGTGCTACAAAACCAATACTGTTGTGCTACACAACTATACACTGTATTAAATTCAACCTCACAAAATCACACAATTTTCAGTCATGGTGTCTATAATATAAACCGTGGATTATTGCCCCTGATTGCTATGGAAGACCAAACAGTTCTTTATTCAGCGTTCCCAATTCTTGGTTCTTAATTCATAGTCCTTAATTATTATGTCTTCATTTGTTGTCGTATTTCGACATTTGTACACTAAAATTAATATTTGTATCTTAAAATCAATATTTGTTTTACAAATCAAACATTTGTCATATCAGATTTGTATAAAACGTATTTTTGTTTAATTTAATTTTATTTTATTATAAAGATAAAATTTATTTTAGTAAATCAAAAAAAACCAACATAATCTACATTAACATTTCATCATAGATATACAACGAACAATAAATCTCGACCAAAAAATTTCTAAATACAAATCGCCAAATACAAATCTTGCAAAACATTTCGTCAAAAACATTTCTTCAATAACATTTTTCCAAAAACATTTCTCGAAATTGGTTAATCTGATCTAGCATTAAATAAAATAAATTGAAAGTAGTCTTCCTTTAGAAATTAGGTTTGGTCTGATAGTGACATATTTCTTTGGAAAAACGAAAGAGGGCTTTATCTCTTCTAAATCATGTTATCATGAATGTGCCAGTAAAATAGCTAATACTTGTATATTCAAAGAGTGATAGACAAATACTTTCCGGTGAAGAATTTTACGATAACTGGAATTTCGTATTAAGGCGCGTATTTTGATTTTTAAATACCCCCTCCCCTCACTAAATAGAGTTCAGACGATCCAAATTATATCGGCTTTAACAGGATACGTAAATATGAATATGTCAGAATATATTTTACAATTTTGAAAATGTATTCGGACCTTTTTAATGGTATGCATCCCGATATCTTGTAATTTGTGTTATTTTGACGTTAAATACCCCACCCCTTCCTCATTTAAAAAATGTTAGTGCCATTTCAAATATGTTGTTCTTTTTTTCATGTTAAAGTTAAAAGACGGGTTATCGTGTATTGCATGAGCGGAAAGTATTTATTTCTTTATCCCTCTTTCAATGTATTACTTCTTCTCTGGCACATTCATGATTACATGATTTAGTAGAAAATAAAACACTTTCGTTTGAGCAAAGAAATATGTCGCTATCAGACAAAACCTAATTTCTGAAAATAGACTACTTTCAATGTATTTTCTTTGTCGAAGGCCCGGCTCCATTAGCCATACTACGCACGTGGTTTCACTAAAGTCGCAGTCATCGAGCGATTTTTCGTTTTGTATATTCTTGCTCGATTCTTCTTTTTTGTATGCAAAGTTGATTTCCGCTCATGTCGTAATACTATTCCGGTTCGATGGATTTTGAGAAATGTTTTTGGAGAAATGCTTTTTGAAGAAATTTTTTGAAAGATGGAGATTTGTATTTAGAAATTTGTTGTTCCAGATTTGTTTTTCGTTGTATTTTTCTGATGAAATGTAAAAGTAGGATAATTTTTGATTTTCTAAAATAAATTTTATCTTTATATTGAAATACAATCAAAATACATTTTACAAATCTGATACGATTATGATCAGAGCCGAGGTCACTTTATCGTGTGACTATCTGGTGTCAATTTCGAGAGATTGTGACGCCCGATAATACATCTTCCCGAGTCAGTCCCGAGTATCTCTACAGAGGCATCGTACCTTCTTGTATGGTTCCGGTGCTATCGTGTGACTTGCTGTAGCCATCGCACTTGCTTCGGCTGTTGATTGGGGATTAACCAGTCTCGGCCCATCTTCCCGCGACATTCAACATTCCATATTCATATGGCCATCTGGTGTCAATTTCGGGACATTGTGACAGCAGCATAAAAGAAATACTGTCACTTTTAACTGGAAATAAAATCATATTCATGATAAAACATTGATTCAATATAGTCAACGATCTAATTGTGAAACTATTCAGCCATGGCCAAATCGCAAAAATCACTTTTTACGGATCGCGATTTGATTTAGTATCACAATTTAAATATCGTTAAAATGCTCTTTTAATAGTTGTTGTTTATTTTTAGTTGTATAAATAAGCACCCGATTAGATTTTATTACATACTTCGAGAAGCTATTTGTTGAGTAATAAAACGTTCTAGTAGTTTATCGAGGGCCGGTCGTCCTTACCGCACTGTACAAATAAAACCTTCTAGTAGTTTATCGAGGTTCGGGTGCTTCCGGAGTCCAAAATGACCGCTTTATATAAATGGGAATTTTGGGGATAACTAACCCGAACCATAACCCTAACCCTTTTTAAAAGACTGAACTTGGGTTTAATTTAGTTTTTACTTCTCTTAGGGTTAGGGTTCGGGTTAGTATTCCCCTAAATACTCATTTGTATAAAGGGCCATTTTGGTATGAGTTATGGCTTGTTCTGGAATTTGTTGCTTCTAGTGGTGATAAACTACTAGAAGGTTTTATTACTCAACAAATACCTTCTCGAATGAGTAATAAAATCTAATCGGGTGAAATAAGTGTGTCATATATGTATTCGACGTGGCTTAATTAAAATATATTAAACGAATAGTTTATTTTATATTAGTATTACATACACAGACAGTAAAACGATTATCGTTCATTTTACTATTTCTAGAACATCTGATATAACTTCTTATTGAGGTGTTCACATAGCTAGAAAAAAACAAACTTTGTTGTACTTTAAATGTCAATTTACACATCAGTGCGCAGATGAATAATATGTTGAAATATGTCTTTGTCAGTCAAATCCGCTAAGTTGTTTAATAAATGTACATGTATTTGGTTAAAATATAAATAGCTGTTTGACGTATATACTTTTTTTTATAACAGCTTGCTATACCTATATTAAGCTAAGCAGGTCGTGTATCTTTTATATCACTGAAGTTCTTGTGTTTGCTTACACAATTATATTTGAGTTGTCAACAAAAAGACATGGCGTAGAAAGTGTTGAAAGGCGACTAGACCAGGTCCTGGGAAGATTTTTAACAATATATAGCCCCGTGACATACTATGTTGTCAACCTCATTCAGAACTTGACATAGAACTTCCTTTTTCATGTCATCACTGTATATCATTACAATGACTAATTAGGATTTTTTATCCCTAGTGGGAAGAGGGTGGCTTGTGTGGAAATGTGAAAACTCAGGGCGTCGATGGTGATCACAATCCCCTTCCCCTCCGCTCAAGCAGTTCGTAGAAGCAGAATGATAAGATACTTTTTATACTGTTATCCACCCTTGAAAACTGTACATCGTTACAAAGCCCAAAACGTCGTGGTCTTTTTAGCAAAGTAGTCGTTTGTCCAAGAAAGATGTGAATTGAAATAGGGTTAAACGTCCGACTGGGCTAATGTAGGCGGACATACGCCATAGCGCCCGGCCTAATCTTAAATCGAATTTCAACTGCCAATGGATCTTTAATGTGCAGGTACCTCGGATATTTTTCCCATCCGCAAAACTAGAAACAGCCCTTGTCAAGCCACCCCACCCCCCGTCCTGCACGATTTACAAGCAGGAACTTTCTTGGTCAACACCGGGAGCGAACCCGAGACCTCCTGGCTAGCGAGTCAGTGTCTTACGCAATGAGCCTCCGCACCTCCCAGAACCATTGGAATCCATTTGTATGTTTGCTCAATAATCGAGTCGTCTAAGGCGTGTGCTTTAGATCGCCAGGGGCCTGATGGGTTGGGTGGCCGAATGGTTAGCACGTGCGCGCTGTATCATAAGGCCTGTCATTGAGTCAACTGGCATAGTTTGGAATCCTCGGTTGTACGTGACAAGGAGTGGGTTTCCTCCCACTGCTAAAGACCCCTACGCGCAAGCGAATTATTGAAATAAAAAATTAAATTATGTTAGTCTTGAAATGACCTAGTTTGTGTCGAGTAGACGTTAAACCCCATCTCTCTCTCTCTCTCTCTCTCTCTCTATCTCTCTTGCATACAATACGTCACTGAAGGGTTATCAGTCCGCCGTAATATCTCTCTCTCTCTCTCTTTCTCTCGGGGACTCCTCTGAATAAATAACGACCATTTGATGTTAGTCCCGAAATGATCCAGTTTCTCAACCACCCTTTAACAATAATAAAAAATTTGCGATTTATGTGGAAAACAATCACAGGCCTGTTGAGATATAGCGCAATGATTCGACAAGAAAAGATACGATAGCATTTGTCGAAACGTGGTACTATATGTGCATAAGCCAGTGAGTTTTCCATATTAAGTTTTCCATTTTTCGTGTTTTTATTATAAATTGAGTGTCTTATAATTACATATGTTAGCGATATAAACAATGTCCCTTTAATAATCATTCACGCATGTTACTTAAATATAAAATCGTGTA